GTGGAACCATAGGATAAACACTCGACCTCAAGGTCAGCAATTCAAACTCACCAGCCACTCCTATGAAACCCCATACTAAGTCACTGTGAGTTGGAATGGACTTGATGGCACTTAACAACAGTGGGCAAAATAATAAATGATGCAGAAAACATCAAAAGAAGATGGAATTCATATACAGAGTCTATGCACAAAAAAGAAATGGTCAATATTCAACCATTTCAAGAGGCAGCATATGATCAATAGACTGGTACTGTAGGAAGAAGTCCAAGCTGCACTGAAGGCAATGGAGAAAAGCAAAGCTCTAGGAATTAATGGAATATAAATAGAAATCTTTCAACAAACTGATGAAGCACTAGAGGTGCTCACTCATCCATGTCAAGAACTCTGGCAGACAGTTACCTAGCCAACCAATTGGAAGAGATCCATATTTATGTCCATTTCAAACAAAGGTGACCCAACATAATGGGGAAATCATCAAATAATATCATTCATATCACATGCAAGTAAAATTTTGCTGAAGATAATTCAAAAACAGCTGCAACAGTACATAGACAGGGAACTGCAAGAAATTCATAACAGATTCAGAAGAGAATGTGTGTATCATTGCTGAATTCAGATAGATCTTAGCTGAAAGCAGAGAATAACAGAAAGATGTTTACCTGAGGTTTATTTTGACTATGCAAAGGCTTTCAACTGTGTGGATCATGACAAGCAACATTGTGAAGAATGAATATTCCAGTCAAAAACTCTATTTTGCTTGGATTCACAATCAACACTCATGCAAAACACATCCAAGAAATCAAATGATCTACTGCATTAGGCAAATCTGCTATACAAGATCTCTAAAATGTTCAAGAGCAAAGACATCAGTCTGGAGATTAAGGTGTGCCTGATCCAAGCCATGGTTTTTAAATAGCCTCATATGCATGTGGAAGTTGAACAGTGAATAAGGAAGACCATAGAAGAATTGATGAGTTTGAGTTATTGTGTTGGAGGAGAATATAGGGTTTCTGAGGTTTTGATCTTTATGGGAACAGAAAACCTCATGTTTCTCCCATGGAGCAACTGGTAGATTGAAACTGCGGACCCTGATGTTAACAGTCCAACCCATAACCCACTACACTATCAGGGCTCCTCATATTACCCACCAGTCCCTGATAAGTCCTTGCTCTCAGTTAGCTCACTTTTGACACCTGTTTGTCCTTCAACCAATCATGATTTTGTAACTTTAGCTCTTGCTTCAACTGTATAAGAATGCTGGTTTCTACCCTTACTGAATAGTTTTCATCTTGTCTAGATGGGTCTGGTGAAAAGAGATGGGGATAAAATTCGTACGATTTAATAGTGAGTAATTGTTATTGTTATCATGACTAATTGTGACTGCCACAATTGTAAAGGTAGAAGTTTTGTAACAGAAACAGGGGAGTAGTTAATCTTACAGTCCAGGAACAGAGGACCCTAGGACCATCCAGGGAGAAGAGCACAAGCAGAATGTGGGACCTTATCCAAAAAAGCAGTGACACCAGAGATGGAAGTAGAGATGAAGACATGGAAAGAAGGAGAAGCTGAAGACTCTAGACTCATGGAAAGAGAAAGGCTGTGTGCTGGTGGTCAGGAGGCAGGCTTGTAGAATGTGCTCTTTGGTTGTTTAAATAATTATATATTCCTGAGTGGTTTTGTGTACAGCCTCCCCTCCCCCCTGCAAAAAAAAAAAGAGGAATAGAAGTAAATACTGTTGAATGATGATGCACGGAGGAGACTGTAATCATTGAAATGAAGCGATGAGTGTAAAACCGATGTTCTCCTATGTAAACTATCACTTAATTCACAAAAAAAACTAAAAAAAAAAAAAGTATTCAAGTAAAAAAAGAATGCTGGCTTCTTTCTTCTCCAGTGGATCAGCCATCATTGCTCTGTGAGTTCGGACCTTCTCCCAGACCAGACCATCTCTGAACTTTAAATAAATCTTTGAATTTTATTTTACAGAGTGTAAGTCTTCACGCTAGAACAAGTGTGAGGAAATTGACTAGAAAGAGACAGGCGGGAACTTTTTGGGTGATGTTTGATGGAGGTGTGGGTTATACAGGTGTATACTTTGTCAAAGCTTTTCTAATTGATCATTTAAAATCTCTGTGGTTCACTGTGCATAAACTAAACCTTTATTCTAGAAAGATTGGAATAAATATTCCCTTTCATCCACTTCCTTTCAACACCTCAACATCTTACTGATGCCTCCTCTGAAGTTAGTGGCATTTCTTCATGCTCTACTTCTCTAGTCTCCTTTTCTCACACATCTCTGCCTTTATTGGAGGACTTGGGATTTAAAACACAGCTGGAAAATCATTGATACTCCTTCCTAGAGGGGTGGGAGCTAAGTCCCTGATTGTGAATCTCAGTGGGCTTGTGACAACCTCAACCAGTCACATGTAGTAGGAAGGATGTTGTGCAATTTCCCAAGCTCACCTTGGCAGCAGCATCTGCCTTAAGTACTGCCAGGCCTGCTAGCTCTCAGACCCCTGAGCCACAGTGATATTTGTGGACAGCCCAGCCCACTGACAGGGATAGAGGGAAGAGCCTATCATGAATGCAGAGATTCCAGTACAGCCATTGCAGCTCTGAGCCTTCCCAGCTGAAGCCTGCCCACATGTGAAACAAGAGAGTCACCCTAATGGGTTATTACAATACAGGACCAAGAAATAATGTTTGCTTTGATATTCCACTTGATTCTACAGAGCTAGGTTACTGAAACAGACCCCTCTGCTCCTGACCTTACCTTACAACATCTACTGATGCAGCCCCTGACTTGAAGAAATCAGTGGAGTCCTCAACCTTCAAGACATTAGGGAGGATTCTCTGCCAGACACTCTGAAAAAAAAAAAAACAAGGTCTGATGAGGATGCGATCCCTCAAAATGAACACCTGGCCATCCCTGCAGACTGGGATAGGTGCAGGGCCCTTCTGTTCACTCCATGACACTCCTCCCTTTCAGGAGGATTTTCATTCCTGGAGTGACCCTTCCCCATTCTCTGACACAGGGGATACGGTTCTCATGCCCACCTCTTAGGGATCATGAGTCAATGTGCCCATGTTGTCCCAGAGGCAGGGGGAGGATGGCTGCACCAACCACAGAGCATGACAGGGCCTGGGACAGTAGACCCAACCACCCTGGCACCTACACTGCACCCAGGGTTTCACCTGGGTGGCCTGACCCTGACGCTGGCATGGAGAAGGGAGAACACGGTGGCAGTTGGGTGGTTCTGAAGGGAGGACATGAGCAACATGGAGGTCAGAGACGGGCAGTAGACAGGGAAAGGGGTAGTACTCAGGGCAGCTGGTGCTTGTCTTTGACGAGACACCAAATTTCCTATGGACAAGGCATGTCATCCACCCTTCCTGTGACTGCAAAGACGCTCTGTGGACTAGGAGGGAAAATGACAAGAGGGCAGTGAGGCACCCTGTAACTCCCTACCCCCAACTCCTCCTATCCCAGTGCTGCTGCTGGACATGACTCCTCCATCCTCCTTGTCCTCACGCTCATTAACAAGTCTAACTGGCAGGTCAGAGATGGACAACTGCTCTCTGGTTAAGCTCCTGGCTGGGCCTGTCCGGAAAGGAGCCATGATGTTGGCCCCAGCTCCCAAGCACCAGTGAGATCAAGCCTGGCCCTCCCTGGTCATATTCCAGGCTGTGGGCACTCCCAATCTGGTTTTGGGGGCCAGGCTGGAGGCAGAAGATGGCAGGTCCATTACAGAGCCAGCTTCCCTAGTGGTTTTAATCCATCCATATCCTGACCTTGTTCTTCCTTTCTTGGGAAGGAGTCAAACATTTGCAGTCCTCCTCACATGACCCCCAGTAACCACACTGAGTTGCTTCTTGTCCATCCATCAGGATGGCCTGCCATTCCTGCCACTGCCTGCAAAGCTCTTCCCTGAAACCTTCATGGAACTCTTGGAGCAGTGACTGTCCCTCCCCAGACTTCCGAAGCCCCGGGGCTTGGTCACCACTGATTATGAGTGCTGTTGACCTGAGCATACAGCAGATGTCCAGAGGCATGGAGAGACAGGACAATGACTGGTCACTGTGTGGACCCCGAGCCACACAGCTTCCACTCAAATGCCAGTCCTGATCTTAGATCTCTCTGCCTCCATTCCTTCACTCATAGAGGTTGTGAGGATGAAAACAGAGCTTAGAGAACTGCTGAGAATGCAGGATACTCCTTGACCATAGCACAGCCATAGCCCAGGAAGGTGTGAGGGGTAGACAGACTATTCATCACCTTCTCGGTCCATGAGGACACTTGGGGAACCCCACAAAATGGAGACAGACTGACCCTTGCTATGGCCACAGGCTTGATCCTTACCACCAACCCTAGGTGTTGCTGTAGCTCCCAGACCAATCAGTTTCTTGTGTTTCTGGCCAGACCCCACTTCCCATTTGCCTCTAGACCACAGATCCTGAAACTGCCCAGTCCATTCCTGGCCAGAAGGCATAGCAATTATGACCATAAGGAAGCATGCCGGTCAAGAGTTGGACCTCAGCTTCCTCCTCTGTGGGAGGGAGATGATAACAGTACTGACTTCACATGTCGTTGTTGTTAAGTGTCACTGAGTGGGTTCTGACTCATAGCAACCCTGTATAGGGTTTCTGAGGAATGACTGGTAGGTTTGAACTGCCAACCTTGTGGTGAGCACTCCAGTGCCTATCCTACAACACCATGCCAGGACTCCCTACTTTCAACAGTTGCCATAATAATCAAATACGTTGCTGTTCCAGAAGGTTGTTACATAGATGCACACTCTAGAAGTTTCTACTTTTTGTGATTTTTAGACTCGTTGACAACATTTACTGAGTTTCTGAAAGTGCCAGCCATTAAACAAAGCCTTTTCACATATGTTTTCACATTCAACAATCACATCCATTAAAGTGGGGGCTACAGGATCAGCAGCTCGAAACTCCCAGCTGTTCTGCGGGAGGAAGATGAGGCTTTTTGCTCCCATCAAGATTCACAGCCTCAGAAACCCTGTACAGGGTCGCTATGAGTCGGAACCGACTCCACGGCACATAACAACAACCACAATTTTATAGATCAAGCTTTCAGTTGTAGATATTTCAAGGTAGTATAGTTCAACCAAACTCTTAAAAATTCCCTTCAGCGTTCAGTTCTAAAACAATCTCCTCTCATCTGAGTGCCAGTGGACTGTGATCCAAGAGGGTCATTTGTCCAGCTGGTCCTGTAATCCCTAGGTCAGGAACAGAGCTGGGGTCAGAGCAGTTGTGCCAGGAACATGTTTTGGAACACCAGGCTTTTTTGACAGACACGCAGGGTGCTCAGATACTCTGGGCTTCCCAGTGCCTTGGCCCAGGGCACATGGCTCTTGCCCCTCTCTTGCTGATCCTACCTTTGCATGAATGGTCCAACCACAATCACCAGCTCAGCCCTATTGACCAGACACCTCCCCTCCGGCTTTCTCTGTCCCTGAGAACCTGCCACACACCTCTGTGGCTCCTTCAAGCCTAGAAAGATCCCTCAAATCACGGCTTGGCCTTCACTGCTCCTGACCTTTTCTCTCCACTCAGGTCCCAGCTCAGTGTTCCCTCCTCAGCCCCAGGCCACCTATCTCTCATCACCCTTTGTATTTTGTCTCTCTGCTGGGTGTTTCCTTGGCTACCTTCCCTATGAGACTGTTGCTCCTTCTCTATGAGAGCAAGGGCCTGATCTACAGTCATGGTCCTGGTGTCCAGCATAGTGCCTGGCACTTAGTAGGGCTCAATATATATTTTTAAAATAAAAAGTCGTATGAATTAATTGATACTCCTTCATGGAGAGATGGGATAAAAGCTCCTAACTGTGAATCTGGGTGGGCTTGTGACTGCCTCAACCACTCATGTATAGTAAGAGGAATGCTGTGTTATTTCCCAAGCTTGACTTGGCAGCAGCTGCTTGGTGTGTACCCTTTCAGTAAGGCATCCACCCAGGAAGAGGGAGATGAATTGAAGGGACCAGAAAGGGCCCTGTCTGGGAAGTGGCCATTTACTCAAGTTTAGGTGGAGGAGACTGAGTCTCAGATGGGAATGGGCTCTTTCTCTGGACTCACATGATGGCAATGTTGGACTGGAGGCCAATAGTCCTGATCACAAAATCTGTGCTGGACACATTCCTTCTGGAAATCATCAAAGGACCATGGCTCTTGACACCTACATTTTTCAGTTATTCTAAGAGGTTCTGTTTCATTTGCCCACATTGCATCCTAGAAGAGCTAGACCCAGTTTACCAAATCCCAAAGTCCCCATGGCAGAGAAAGAAGGACTAGGAAACACTGAAAGCCCTAAGAGGGGAAAGCATTCCTGAGCCCAACAACGTGCCATTCACAGAGGGCATTGTGCATGACCTCCTAACCAGACAGCAGCTCTGCAGGTGCCTCTTACCCTCATGGCCTCTGCAGTGACCAGCTCTTCCTCTGTCAGCTCAAGGGCATCTCCAGCTGCTCCCTGGAAGAAGTGTGAGGCTGGGATCATCTTGCCATCCTCCAACTGGATATTCTTCACCAGCAGCTGTGGGAGAAAGGATTTCACAGGAACTGCAATCAGACCAGTGATGACGACACCAAACCAGAAAGATCCTACACTGCGTGCCCTACACACTTCATCTCCAACCCTCCCAGTGAGGCAGGACCATGGAGCCCCAACAAAGGATGGGAAAAGGAGCTCAAAGAGGTGAGTTCCTAGTTCTAAGGGCACAAAGGAAACTGCACAGCAGAGATGAGAACACAGGCACCTGCCACACTCCTTAGTCTTCCATTTCACCCCATTCACCACCACCACTGTATAATTTTTTTAGGTGTAATGATTTTATTATCTATAAAAATTATGTGTGCTCATCAGAGAAGGTAATTCAAGTATTACGATGAAAGTCAATATAAAGAACATACGTAAGTCATCCAATAGACTAGCTTCTAGAAACCCCATGGAAACATCTGGCAAACATCCTAGACATCCCTCTGGAATTCTAAGGCAGGAGTAGGGGCAGGTGCACTCTGGGATAGTGGCAATGCCCATGTTTAATGAGAGCAGCTCTGTAAGAACAGCACAGTCCACAGGATTTTTGCCTGACCCAGGGCTCTGCTGCCCTCACACTGCAGCCTCAATCCATGGTATCTACCAAGGGTGCCTTTCTTTGCATTACCTGTCTCTGTATATGCTGTAGCTGATACAGTCAGTCAGTACCCATACAGAGCTTTCACCCAGCTAAGTCAGCACACTCCCTGCTGCTTTAAGCACTGTCTGCTAACAGCCCACACTGCATCTTTGGTGAGGTTCTCTGTGGATGGTAAGAACCACCATGAAGATGGTTCTTATCATGCACAAGGTCAAGGAGGTTGTGCCTTATTGTTCCTTTACTTCAATCTAAGAATGGTGGAGTCAGTTCCCACTCCAGAGTGACCCATGTGGTCAGGCTCAGGCTAAACTTCTCCTGAGCCATTATCTGTGCCCAGCATTTTCCTGTGACCTGCCTGCTTCCCTCTCTCCCTTACACAATCTTCATGAGAGCTCTCCCTCAACAAATCACTTGTGCAACAATTCCTGTCTCGACACTGCTTCTTGGTAACCTGACCTAAGATGTTGTTGTTGTTGTTGTTAAGTACTGTGAAGTCGGTTCCAACTCATAGCGGCCCTGCACAGGGTTTCCGAGGCTGTAAATCTTTATGGGAGCAGAATGCCCCATCTTTCTCCTGCAGAATCGCTGGTAGTTTCGAACTGTTGACCTTGAGGTTGGCAGCCCGACTTGTAACCCACTAAGCTAACAGAGCTCTTTGACCTAAGACAGATGGTGGTGGTGGTGGTTACGTGCCGTGGAGTCGGTTCCGACTCATAGCGACCCTGAACAAAGTTTCCGAATGTGTAAATCTTTACGGGAGCAGAAAGCCTCATCTTTCTCCTGCAGAACCACTGGTAGTTTCAAACTGTTGACCTTGAGGTTGGCAGCCCGACTTGTAACCACTATGCTAACAGAGCTCCTTGACCTAAGACAGACGGTGGTGGTAGTGATTATGAGCCGTGGAGTCAGTTCCAACTCATAGCGACCCTGTATAGGGTTTCCAAGGCTGTAAATCTTTACCAGACCAGAAAGCGTCATCTTTCTGACACAGAACAGCTGGTAGTTTCAAACTGCTGATCTTGCAGTTCGCAGCCCAATTTATAACCACTATGCTACCAGAGCTCCTTGACCTAAAATAGATATTACCCTCTAATTGCCTTAATAACCACCACTACCTACACCTATACTTACATCATCAGTCACTGTCCATCAAACATCACCAGAAGCTAGCTGGCCAGACCCTCTGGCAGCAGGCCACGGAGAGAGCAGCATAGGGAACACTTACCAGCCCTGGGCAATGTCACCCCAAACTGCATCTGGTCAAGGGCATAGAATCCCTGGGATTGTTGAAATTCTGAAAAGGGCTCAGTGATCCCCTTCCTATACTCCTTTGCCTGTCCCTAACATCTTCTGTAAGTGGAAGTATAGGCCCAGAACATCCCAACTCCTGTGGAGAGTGTATATTAACAGCCCAGAGCCTGGGCTAAGGGCATGGACTTAAGAGCCAGCTCTGAACTATTTGTCAAGAACTAGCTGGGTGACCTTGGGCAAGTTACTTAAACTCTCTGTGCTTCAGCTTTCTCCTCTGTGAGATGAACATAATAGAGACCTCATTGTTGTTGTTGTTGTTAAGTGCCATCGAGTCGGGTCCGACCCATAGCGAGACCTCATAGGGTTGTTGAAAAGAGACTACATATAAGTAGTTTTATAACAGTGTTTGGCACATAGAAAGTGCCCAGTAAACAGTAGCTAATGGAGTCTTGGTGTGGTGCTGTGGGATAAAACACTGGACTGCAAAACTGGTTTGAATCATAAGGTTGGTGGTTCAAACTCACCAGCTGCTCCTTGGAAACCTTATACAGGGTCACTATGAGTCGGAACCAACTCAATGGCACTTAACAACAACAACATTATTATTAGCTTCAGAATCTGCTATCCTAATAATGTTGTTGTTGTTAAGTGCTGTCGAGTTGGTTCCGACTCATAGCGATCTGGTATAGGGTTTCTGAAAAGTGGTTGGTGGGTTTGAACTGCTGACCTTGTGGTTAGCAGTCCAGTGCTTGTCCCACAGTGCCACACCAGTACTCCTAATAATTGTTAGCATTTATACAGAGTTTGATATATGTGCCAGGCATGTTTCCACATGTTTCACATGTATGAAATCACTTTTTTATAATATCTTTGTTCACAAGGGAACGCAGTGGCTCTGTAGGATAAGCACTGGACTGCTAACCACAAGGTCAGGTGGTTTGAGACCACCAGCTGCTCCACAGGAGAAAGATGAAGCTTTCTGCTCTCGCAAAGATTTAAAAAGCCTCCGAAACCTTAAAACAGGGTTGCTGTGAGTCGGAACGGACTCTATGACATTTAACAACAACTGTTAACAAAGAAAGAATCTGAGGTACAGAGGTTAAATCCCATATCCAGTGGTTAGACCAAACTATACCTCCAAGACCAGGGCTCCCTGGCAAGGAGTTCCCGTTTTTAAGCTGTATGATAGCTACACAATGTACCCAGTTCTGGGAAGGCAAGGGGACCCCAGCCTTCCAGTAACAGAGAAATAGTCCCAGTAACCACATTAGTCAGTCTGTGCCAAGGCCAACCCAGCAACCGGAAGCAAGCTTGAGTCTGCCCTCCCTGGAGAGTATGGTCTGTTCTTCTCTGCAGCAGCCTAGGCACTTCCTTTGAAGTGTGTTTGTGGGTGTGGGCAGTGGGCTCCAGCAGTGCTGTTACCATCTTGTTATCATTCCCAAAGAGGACAAGTCCTGCTTTGGTGACCACTCCTGGCTGGTGGGCTCCTGGGATGGGCAAAGCTTCACCCTCAGGCATCAGGCCTGAAGTGTTCAGCGTCGAGTTGAAAAATGTCAGCTTCTGTTGAGGAAGGAAACCAAAAAGCAGTGGGTGAGTTGAGGCCCCTGATTCTGGCAACCAAGGCAGAGACACATTGGGCTAGGAAGATGGAGAGGATGTGGGGTGAGGCCCAGGCCAGGAGAATTGGTGCAAGGGCACAGAGCCTGAGTCTCTACCATGGCCTTGAGGAGCTGACGACAAGCTGCCTTAGGCTCTGCTTGCCCCTCAGGCCCTTTATATCGCCTTTGGGTGAGACTAGGTAGACAGACAGGGGGAGAAAATTCATCTAGGGTGCTGATCATGGAGCAAGGCTGACTCCCCTCTGTGGCACTAAGCCTGGTCATTTTGGTCAGGAGATGAATCTGCCAAAGTACAGAGTCCTGTGGCAGTAAGAGCAGCAAGAATTGTGGGGACAATGGGAGTGTTCAGTGAAAGGCCAGGGGTTTGAGCAATTTGGGACCAGGACACTACTGCTCAGTCTGGAGCACAGGACCCACCCTCAATGAGGTCAGACTATGACTCTATACCTATGAGTAGCAGAATGCCCTACTGTTAGCATCTAGCCTGCCTCAGCTCCTAACCCTTGCCCACTGTCCACTCCCTGACCCTAGGGATGCTGTTCCTCCTGCTGTAACATCAGAGGCCAAGTCAAGTCAGAGCTGGGCTTGGTGTCTTCTGAGCCCAGGGGTGAGAGTCCACCTTTTATAACCTATAAGGCTGGGCTCACTTGGCTGACAGGGAATCTGGGACTTGAGAAATATGAGATGTTAACCCTTTAGGATAGGGGATAGGTCTGAGTGGTCTTAGGAGAAGCTGAGATGACTAGGGGGCACATGGTAGGGGTGGGGACCAGGTAGGGGCTGTTTATAAACTAGTACAAGCATATTTTAAGATTTTTGTAGTTAGTGGGGCCACACCAGCATCCAGCTGAATCCCAGCCACACATGGCAATACCTGTCCACAGGCCTCAGTCCAGGCTCCAGGCACCTTGTCGTTCCCACGGATCCAGTTATGAATGGTTTCAGCTGGTTGGTCCCAATTGATCTGCAGAGCCAAGACAGTGCACTTAGGTGGTCTCCTCCTTTCCAACCCTTAAGGCATCAGGAACTTGGCCTTATACCCTTCCATGGGCCTCACCTCTCCACAGGTCTCCTACCTTTCCTGCTCTCCAGACTCCTCCCCCACTTGTTTCATAAAGAGAAACAGAGAGGAGCCTGGACTGGACCTGCCTTCTGCCTTCCCCCACTCCCTGGCTGTGCACAAGCTTTTCCCATAGGTGCTGCCTTTCTTCGTGTCTTCCATAATTATGAACGGCACCTCCAGCTTGGACCCCAGCTTCTCCAGAACACCCTCCTGGCCTGGGGCCCATGTACAGGCAGACTTTGGGGGTGGGCAGACCACACAGTGCTTACCTTAGCCATTTCCTTCTTCTGAATCCCCTCATAGGTGGCCCCTTCCTCAGGTTGAGGGAGTCTAGGAGCTCTCCCCTCAGCAATCAGCCTCACAGCTTGAACCTGTGGAGGGTTCAGGCTCAGTCAGCTCCCTCTCTCCCTCCCAGACCCTGAGTTTGCCTGGCACAGTGCCTGGGACCGAAAGGAATCCCACACATATCTGTCGTCTGAACAACTGGGGTCATCTAACTCTAACCCCACTGCATACAGAACCCTCCCCTACTTCACAAGGTTTTATATCTTCTTAGAAAATTTCATAACCTATCAAACCCTGTGCAGATATAACATACAAAAATGTTATGTTGTTATTTAAAGCCCTCTGTGTCTTTTAAGGAGATTAAACTATGATGGGTTTGGAGATGTAAGATACAAGTTTAGAGGTTTGAGATGAAGCAATAAACCATTTCCGTTAAAGAGAAGGAGAGGGGGAGCAGCAATGGCGCTTAACAACAACAAACAGGAGACTGAGTTCACCATAATGGAAAGCCTATGGGAAGATGCCCCAGCAGTGCCAGATAAAGAAGTGATTTCAGTATCAGAAATGTCTACCAGAACTTTCTGGGGTGATTGCTGCTGTTGTCTAATGCCATCGAGTCAGTTCTGACTCATAGTGAACCTGTAGAGGGTTTCCAAGGAGCGGCTGGTGGGTTTGAATGGCCAGCCATGCAGTTCAAACCAATCTTGCAGTCCAGTATTTATTCTACAATGCCACACCAGAACTTCTTCTGGGGTGACAGACATGTCCTATTTTGTTACTATCCAGTATGGTAGCTGTGAGCCATGTGTAGTTACTGAGCTCTTGAAATGTAATGAGTTCTTTATTTTAATTTAACTTAAATTTGAGAAGCCACACGTGATCAGTAGTTATCATACTGAACAGTGCAGCTCTAAAGGATAGAGTTGATTTTTTGCTGTAAGATATGCAATCCTACCCCTTCTTTGTCCTTAAATTAAATCTTTACTCAAGTCTATTTTGCCCACCAGTTGGGGGGAGAACATAAAGAGGCATTTAGTTTAATTCAACTCAAAAAGCAGGAGAGCCCATGTGGAATACGAGCTAAGGACAAGAGGCACTGAGCTGCTACCGTCATGCTCACGGCCGTGCGTGAATCACTTGTGCTTTTAATGAGAGGCTCAAGTACCAATTGCCTCACGTATTGCTGCCCATTACTGCTCATGTAGCTGCTGGAGCACCAGCAGCGTAACAAATACTCCAAACCTCCAGAGCCTTCCCTGACTGGAGGAATCAAACCCCACACGCCACAGTCTGCTGTGTTACATACAACATGTGTATTTGACATCTGTCATTTTTATTTGCCAGAACCCCTTCCTTCTACCTCTTTAACAAAACCTCCTTTCCTAAGGAAAACCACGCAACTAGAATTGGACAGCTGTCTTACTCCCAGCCAGCCACAACAGGAAGCAGTGATTTTGGCTGGCTGCCTACTCCATTACTGTGGCCAGTGATTGGCTCAGGAAGATCACATGACCCAAACTAGGCTGATTAGCATCTTGCTTAATTTTTCAACAGTAAATTCTAGAAGAAAAAGGAGTTCTCTTTCCCTGGAGGACTCAATGAGTGGTGAAATGGTTAAAGCAGTTGGCTGTTAACTCAAAGCCCACCCTTGGAAGGAAGTCTTGGTAATCTATTTGTGAGAAACACTTCTACTCTGACCCTCATAAGCTGGAGTCAGAGGCTATTGTTTCTCGCTGTCCCAGAACCACCTTGAGCTTCCAGTCACTCTCTTTACTCCCATTTAGAGGCAACCTGAGTCGTGGTGTGGCTCTGGTAGGTTAACGCGCTGGACTGCAAAGTTGGTTTGGACTGCAAGGTTGATGGTTCAAGCTCACCAGTCACTCCTCAGAAACCCTATACAGGGTCACGATGAGTTGGAACTGACTTGATGGCACTTAACAACAACAACCTGAGATTATGGTGTTGTAGGATCAGCACTGGACTGCAAACCACAGGGTTGACAGTTCAAACCCACCAGCTGCTCCTCGTAAACCCTATATAGGGTCACTATGGGTTGGAATCAACTTGACGGCACTAAACAACAACCTGAAAATGAGGGCAACTAAACAAAAGGCAGAACCAGGGTGAATAGAGAAATAAAATTCTAACGTCATGGCTTCAGTTCCTGGGTCTACCTTTAGTTTTGTTGTTGTTAAGCGCTGTTGAGTAGGTTCTGACTCATAGAGACCCTGTATAGGGTTTCCAAGGAGCAGCTCGTGGATTGAACTGCTGACCTTGTGGTTAGCAGTCCAGTGCTAATCCTACAGCACCACACCAGGAGTATTCTCTGGTTATTGTTGGTATGTGCCATTGAGTCAGTTCTGACCCATAGCGACCCTATATAGGGTTTCCAAGGAGCAGCTGGTGAGCTTGAACTGCCAATCTTGCAGTTCAAATGGCTTTGTAGTCTGGCACATTAACCCACAGCGCCACATCAGGACTCCCAATGAACCCAAAATATTCCCTTTGTTGCTAAAACCTTTTGAGATGGGGTCTATCAGTTGTAATTAAGAGTCTTGCCTAATATAATACATTATTAATGTCCTAATTCTGCCTCTTTAGCATCCTGAAAGAAGCAATCTTCCTTCAGGACCCTGGCATTTGGGGAACAGACTCATAGCCAGTTACTAGCACCTCTGTCTGGGGCCTAGAGCTGGCACTCAGGGACACAGGGACAGAGAGAGCTTACTGAAACATTGGGGCAGGCAGAAGCCCAGCTCCCAGCTCTTACCATCCCCTTGATGCCTTCAGGGAAGAGGAAGCGGTTGTATAAAGTGCTCACGGTGTCATCCTGGAGGACTTCACACTCCTTCTGGAGCAGAATGTCACCTGTGTCCAGACCATCATCTGCCCAGAAAATGGTGAAGCCTCCTTTCTTGTCGCCATGGATGAGGGTCCTAAGAGGCAGAAGAACAATCACCTATGTTGGAGGGACAGTCAGTGTGAAAATGCACTGAATGCAATCACGAGACCCTTTCCTGCAGCATGTTCTCTCACCAGAGGAAGGAGAGAGAAAAACAGTGTTATCAAAACCAACTAGGTCCTTTGCTGAAACCTCTACAGTCCATCTATAATGTCATTTTCATGACAGATTTAACAGGTAGTGCATGCCCATTTACACATGAGGAAACAGAAAAGGAAGGTCAGGGAGTCAAAATTCTAGCCAGAGTAGTCCAACTAAAATCTCATACTCTCGTCTCAGCTCAAAGCCTGCCCTGCCAAGACCCTCCCTGAGCGCCCATACCAGCCAGACTCTTCCACATGTCCACGCTAATGTCTTCTCAGTATGTCTCATACCTCAGATTATCTTGTATACTGAACCCTTTAATTCATCCCTTTCCAAGTAAGATGCTGCTGAGTTAGTTGGATAGAGGTTAGGAGCTGGACTTGGGCCTGACCACCTGGGTTCAACTCCAGCTCAGTGACCTCCTGTGTTTTCTCAGAGAACCCCATTAACCTTGCCTGTCCTAGGAGCCCTAAGATAGAATGCTGGGACTATTTTTCTATGGGTTTAGTGTGAGAATGCCAAGGCCTTCGCATTGCCTGTCTCTGGTACTACAGAAGGATTTTTTTCTTATTGATACCACTTTACAAACCCAGTCTATATCTGGCATCTGGCAGCCATAGAAAGCGCCCCCAAGTGTCCAGGTTCTAGTAATTATACTTTCTTCCCTTCTCCCTAGCCTTAGTAGCAGCTGCTGTTTCCCTCCATCAGCGCTTCCATGATACCGTAGTGTTCTCTCTCTGGACTCCAATGTGAATCCAACACTTCTTTTCATTACATTTTAAAATGAAAATAAAACGTATGATGTGGCGCTTCGGACTGGACCCTGTCCACTACTCTCTGTGCTTAGCCCCTAGAGTACTGCAGTGCTGATGGGGGTTGAGCGCAATGCCAGCAGATTAGGCCATACTTCCAAAAGCTGTCCCCACTGTGACAGATGCCCCATTTTACAGAACATTTCACAATATCAATTTCACAGAACCTGAGAAAGAGTTTAGGTTTGGAAGAATAGACAATTCAGGCTGACAGGGAGTGAGGGCATGTTGCGGATGGTGGTTTTTGTCCTTTCTCACCAGTTGATGGCTGAGGCCCCTCGGTGTCTGGGAAGCAAAGATGGATGGTAGATGATGGAGCCATGTCGGGGGGCATTGATGACCTCCATGGGGATGAACTGGCTGCAGAAGGGCAGGACATTGAGTTCAGCCCCCAAAGCCTGGTACTGGGTCACCACCTCCGGCAGAGCCTGCCCTCGCAGTCGCCAGCGGGGAAATTTGAACACCGGCACTCCGTCCTTCTCAGCTTCCAGGCCTGTGGATAACAGGTGAGAAGCTGGCATTCTCTGATCCCTATTTGCTCCACTGCACTGCTGCCTTCCAAGCCTACTGGTTCCTCGACCTTCTCTCCAGATCCATCCCTTTTACCCTCCACCTACTGTCCCAGCCCAGACCCAGCAGGCAGGCTTTGGGGTAGCACTGGCTGAAGGCTTGGTTTCAGAGACTGTTCTGGTCATGTATCGTCTGCTAATCACCCCTCTTCAGGTAGTGAAGACAACGTCTTCCTGATCATCAGCTGTTCCCTGTGAGGCCTGACCTTCAGGGGTGGTGATCTTGACTTCTGATACCTTGCAGAAGAATTTCATTGGTCACAGTGGGGACAGCTTTGAGAAGTAAAGCTTAATCTGCTGGCATTGTACCCCACGCTTGTTAGAACCCCGGCACTTAAGGGGCTGAAAGCCAGGAGAATATTGGTCAAGGTCCAGTCAGAAGCTACACATTCTGCCTATTATTTTAATAGAGAATTCAATAAAAAGAAGTATTAAATAGATACTGGAGACCAGTAAAGAAAAAAGGGCACTATAAAGTCTATGGAGGTGAAGATGGTGCAAATAGTTACTACCTCTAACACAAAGGGAAAGAGAGTGAAGAAGCTGTGATTACTAGAAACTTCTCACACAGCAGTTTTTCCTGACCTCGCAGAACCAGCCTCAATACAAGTCCCCCACACTGGCACCAGGCAGCCAATGTCTGCATCTAGGAGCTAGGGCCTCAGTCCACAAGGCCCACCCCCTGTTCATCACCAGTTCCAGATGGGCAGCGCCTTTCCTGGAGGTCTGAACTACGGTCCTCCAAGTATCCAGGTTCTAGTAATCCCACCTTGATTAATACTTGAAATACACAAATAGAATGCAGAGTGGATTGCGTATGGCTGCTCTCCAGCCAGAAAAGTCCAAGAACCCAGTATAAGACCCTCCAAACTTCTGCTTCTCACCCATCTTGTTCACTGTGACTTATCTGCCTGGAACTTAACAAACTGCCTCTCCTCTATGGCTGCTCACTCACCTAGAGGGTCTGCCTTCCCATCCTTGTCTGGGATAGTGAACACACCCACCACCTCATAGCCTTCCTTCTTCAGGTGGCAGTAAACTTCCTGGCCAAACAGACTTTGGCCAATGACGGCAATCTTCATGACCTCAGGGGTGGATTGGGAAAACCTGGGAAGAAATAGGCCACAAGGTTAGTTCCAGATTAACTGTCACTGAAAAGCCTGTCTTGGTTAAAGTGGCCAGGTCATCTTCTTCCCTCTCTCCTCCAGCCCTTGGAGCAACTTTGGTACATACATACAATGGAATACTATACAATGTTGAAGAATAATAGGGAGTCTGCAAAATGCCTCATAAAATGGATGGATCTGGAGGGCATGATGCTGAGTGAACTTAGTCAATTACAAAGGACAAATATTAGTCAATTACAAAGGACAAAGGTATGAGATCACTATTGTAAAGAGTCAAGACATGCTAAAAGAATCATTCTTTGATGGCTACCAGAGGTGGGAGTAAAGTGGCAGTAATTCACTGGCTAGAGGGTAGACACCTGCTAACTTGGGTGATGAGGAAGGCAATCTACAACAGGAGAGAGGTTGGCAGAATAATAATGAAGGCAAAGGGAAGACATAGGGAGGGGTGCAATAGTTAAAGGGAATAGAGGTAAATACTGGTACATATGCAATCCTGTAATAACAGTGATTTAAGGGGCACAGTAGAAAAAGAACTGGACTGTAACCTGAAAGGTCAGTGGTTCCAACCCACCAGCCCCTCCTCAGGAACATTATACAGGGTCGCTATAAGTCAGAACCAACTTGATTACACTCAGAAACAAGAAGAACATAGATATGCTGAATGCATGTGGGAGGGAGATTGGGAGTATATACACACATATATAATGTATGACAGAGGAGATTTGTATTGTACATAGGGATTTACCTTAGCAGCAAATATATCCAGGACTGTGGTAGAGCACTGTTGTTATTATTAAGTGTTGCCAGTTGGTTCTGATTTAAAGCAACCCTATATTGTGTTTCTGAGACTGCAAATCTTTGGGAGAGCAGAAAGCCTCATCTTTCTCCCATGGAGCAGTTGGGGGGCTTGAATCACTGACTTTGTGGTTCTCATTCCAGTGTTTAACCTACAGAGCCATTGTGCTCTTAGGGTTGTTGTTGTTGTTTAGGGCTATCGAGTCAATTCCAACCCATAGCGACCCTGTATAGGGTTTCCAACGAGCGACTGGTGAGCTTGAACCGCTGACCTTGTGATTCAAACAACTTTGCAGTCTGGAACATTAACCTACAGCACCACACCATGACTCCTTGTGTGCCTATGGTAGAGCATATAAAAAGTTGAAATAGGTGTGAGGTAGAAGTGAAACCTGATTGGAAGCAGGAGTAGCTGGTGAATGACATTGGGAGGCTTCTGGGAAAATGGCAGAGTAGGCAGATATAGAAGTGTCCAAAGTAAAACTAACCAACAAGACTGAAAACAGGGAACAAGAGATTTCTATTTATAATAAAGAAAAATACAAAGCAAAAAGAGGAAATAGTGTAGATATAGAACTTCCAAATGGTAAGGAAGTCAGGTAGATTTCAAGATAAAACAGACTGCTACACATAGGAGAAAAAAATTAATAAATTACAGGGTAACATCAAAGAAAAATAATACACCTGCACATCGAAATAAAAATAAAGAGAAAAATCAGAAATATTTCATAGACATTAACACAAAAGAAAAGAAAATGAAAACCCACAAACAAAATGAACTCAGCATAGAAAATTATATGGAACAAAGAATCCAGCACCACCACACACACACACACAAACGACAACAATCAATTCATACCTATTGATAATTACACTTACTATAATTGGATTAAATGTACCAGTCAAGAGACATAAAGAGCAGAATGGATAAGAAAATAGAATAGTTCAATATGCTCTCTATAAGAGATATATCAAAAAGATGGAGACAGCCTAAATGTCCATCAATAGAAGAATGGTTCAGCAAACTTTGGTACATACACACAAAGGAATACATACAAAGGAATACTACAAAAGATTGAAGAATCATGATGGATCTGTGAAACACCTCACAACATGGTTGAATTGGAGGACATTATACTGAATGTAATTGTTGTTGTTGTTGTTAAGTGCCATTGAGTTGGTTCCGACCCATAGCGACCCTGAACAGGGTTTCTCAGGCTGTAAATCTTTACAGGAGCAGAAAGCCACATCTTTCTCCAGTGGAGCAGCTGGTAGTTTCAAACTGCTGACCTTGCGGTTCGCAGCCAGATTCATAACCACTATGCTACCAGAGCTCCCAGAATTAGTTAATGACAAAAAAGCCAAACATTGTATGAGACCAATGTTGTAAAAAGTTTTTCAAAAAAAGGTTTTCTTGATAAAAGAACTAATCTATAATGATTAGGCATTGGCGCTGGGCAGGGGAAATTATTCCTGGGCTAGAGGGTAGCCACGTGTTAACATAGGTGACAGGACAGGCAATTACAACAAGAGGAGGTTAGCAGAGGAGAGACGAAGGTAGTGGCAGGCACAGGGAGGAATGCGATAGTTGGAGTAAGTGGAGGTGAATGCTGTTAACTACTGGTGCACGGAGAGGATTGCAACCATGTAATGTGGCAAAGTATGTAATTTGTTGAATGTCAATTCACAATTAAAGGTTTAAAAGAAGATAATGAAGACTTCTTAGATATTACCAAACACATTGTGAAAATAAGTTGCTGGGCCTAGGGGCCCAGGACTACAGTCTTAGAGGACACCATAAGCAAGCATAACTTAGTCCACAAAGACAATGTTCAACATCCTACTTTGATGAGTAGTGAGAGGGATCTCAAACGCTCATAAATGGCATTCTACAGGACCCTGAGGTCAGAAGAACTTACAGTTTCTGGTTAACACTACCAAATGTTCTGAAAGGAATCACATTAGCAGGTCCTGGGTAGTTTGGGAAAAATTGTGGAACAAACTCAAAATCATAAAAAATACCAGGCTTACTGGTTAGAAAGAGACTGGAGGAACTGAAGACTATGGCCCTTGGTGACACTTCAAGTCTGGAGAACTGAACTCATCCTCCATGGCTCAATTTTCAGCCAAGCAGTAGGTAGATATGTAGGGGGGATAGCTCTAGTGAGGTATGCATACCATAGAATGATCTCCCATTAGAGATCAAAAGGGCAGCATTTACCTAAGGACAAAATTCAGAAAGGCTGGTAAAGAAGAAAGAATGGAAACAATCACAGGCAGGAAGTGGGGTAAGTAGTATTACATTGAGGGGGTCTTCAATCACTGATAAGAAACGAGGCACAGGATTTGTTGAATGTAAAACTGATTAATTTCCCGATAAACCACTCAATTCACAATGAAAAAAAGTTTTAAAAAGGACACCACAGTAAAATAAAACTATAGACCCATATTCCTGATGAATATAGATGCAAAGATCCTTAACAAAATATTAGTAAACAGAATCCAGGATATATCAAAAGAGCCATACAAAATGACCAAGTGGGATTGGTTGTGGTAATGCAGGCATAGTGCAACAACACTAGAAAATGAATCAACACATTACAGCACATCAATCCAACAAAAGTAAATAGCCATGTGATTATCTCTATGGATGTAGAAAGAGCATTTGATAAAATCCAAAAAATGGATCTTATCTTTCTAGATAAAAACCCTCAGGAAGACTGATAGAAAGGAAGTTTCTCAACACGATTCAGGGCATATATGAGAAGCCAATATCTAACATCATACTTAAGGAAGAATGAGACACTTCTCTTTGAAATCAGGAACAAAACAAGGGTGCCCGCTCTGGCTACTTCTATTCCATATTGTATTGGGAGTCCTAGCTAGGGAAATAACACACACACACAAACACACATGCACACACTAAAAGGAATCTACATTGATAAAGATTTACAATATTTACAATGTCACGATTCAATATACTAAAACCACCAAAGAGTTTGCAAGATAGCTTCTAGAGCTAACACAGGAACTTAGCAAAATTGCAAAGTACAAGGTCAACAAACAAAAATAAGTTGTGTTTCTATAGATCAGTAATGAGAAATGTAAAAGGGAAATTATGGAAACAACTCCGTTTACAATAACATCTAAGAGAAGAACATACCTAGAAATAAATTTGACCAGGGATATGAAAAGCTTACATAAATTATGAAAATGATAAAACACAGCTGGAAGAGATTAAAGAAGACTTAGCTAAATGGAAGTATGTTCAGTCATCGTCAATTAGAAGACTTAATATTGTTGTAATGGGACGATATAGACAAAACTATGAGAGGAGTAAAAACTGCCAACCAAGAATCATCAGCACAGCAGAACTGTCCCTCAAATAGGATGGCAAAATTAGAACATTTGCAGATAAACAGAAATAAAAGGAATATGTAATAATCACACCAGCTTTACAAAAAATATGCAAAGGAGTTGTTGGACTGAAAACCAACAACAGAAGACAACAACCTGAGATTAACATACACAGTAACACCACCCTGAGCTCAATCCAGATGTAGAAGTATCCAAAGTAAAACTAACCTACACAACTGAAAATAGGGAACATGAAGAAAACTACAAAGCAAAAAAGAGGGAAAGTGTAATTACAGAACTTCCAAAAGGCAAGGAAGTCAAATAGATTTCAAGATAAAACAGACTGATTTCAACTGGGGAAGGAAATTAATACATTGTAGGGCAACCTCAAAGAAAATAAATACACTTTCACATCAAAACAAGCTAAAGGATCATCTCTCACACTTCGAAAATACTATCAGGAGGGACCAGTCCCTGGAGAAGAACGTCATGCTTGCTAAAATGGAGGGTCAGCGAAAATGAGGAAGACCCCCCAACGAGATGGACGGGCACAGTGGCAGCAGCAATGGGCACAAGTGTAACAAAGATCGTGAGGTTGGCGCAGCACCGGGCAGTGTTTCGTTCTGTTGTGCACGAGGTCGCTATGAGTCAGTACTGATATGACAGCATCTAACAATAACTCTGTGTGTGTGTGTGTGTGTGTGTGTGTGTGGCATTTATCTACACACATGTACCATGGGCATAGTGTGTGCATGGATGGTACCTGTGTGGTGTATATGTGTCTTCATTGTACACCTGCA